AATTTGACTAGCTATTAAATATTTTATGATCATATATTTTTATTTACGGAAATAAAGTAAAACCATTGTTCACAAAATTTTAATTTTAAGATTTTAACAGTTTTATTAGTTTATAATCGTTTTAGAAAATTTAATATATAATAACAATGTAAATTTTAATTATATATTTAATATGATTCTTTAATTTTTAGTAATATAAATTAAATAAAAATGATAGAGGATAGAAAAACTATTATCAAATATTTATTATTCATAAGCATAACGGTCATATATATATATATATATATATATATATTATTCATATTAGGTAATTCTAGGGGTTTTCAAACTCTCGTAAAATCCAAACAATTATAATAGAACCGAACCAAAATAAAGAAAGTGGTTTGGATTTGGCAATACTGAATAAACCAAATGGATGTTAATTTTAAGAAACAGTGGTATGGATATGGTTCTATATATAAACCAATCAAACCGAATAAATCGGAGAAACCGATTAATTAAAATATATTAGTATACGTCTATGCTAATTTTATAATAAAATTAACAATATATATATCATTATCTGTTCATATGATGTTCATATTTATGGAACTGATTTTATTATTTTTTCTTTGTTGAAAGTGAAAACAAATATCATTTTGTATCAAATTAAATAAAACATATTTTTATTGGTAAATATTCAAGTAAAATATAGTTATTTAATAATATTATCATACTAATATTTTATTTTTTTATTTCTAATAAAAAGAATTGAAAAAGAAGATATTTAAAAAAAAATTTAGAGTACAAAATATATATTATGTTTTAATAAATCTTATTACAAATCATCTAAACTAAAAGTCATCATAAAATGTAAATATAGTTATGGTTTTGGTATAAAACCGGAAAAACTAAAAATCATTAGTATATAAACCGAACCAAAACAGAATAAATATGATATTAATATTGTAGCTAGTTTTTATAAATTAAAATACTAAAAAACCATATCGAAACCGAACCGACATCTGAATTGAACACCCCTAGGTAATTTCATATCTTTTATTTAAGGAAAAATAAAAATATTATTTTATGCACTACTAATCAATTTGATAGTTTATTTAGTAAAAGTATAATATATATTTAGATATACCAACTAATTTTTCAAAGGATTTTGAGAATTATCCTAATAATGATATGTGGTTACACTCAATTGTATAATGCTCCTCAATTAATATATAAGAGATTGTGATACTAATAAAATTACATTTCATATGGTCTTCAAAATAACATTGCAAGAAAGAACATAGAACCGTACGCGCATGACGCAGATTTGAATGGACATCTGCAACACATTTAGCTTCAGTATAAAAAGCTAACTATATGGTACTACATATTTGAAACTCCACTTGTGATTTAGTATATGAAAATGATGTGTGTAACAAAAAAAGATTATAGAATGGGACAACAACTTTCATGTCCCTCTTCTAGTTTGTACCCAATTTAACTGCAATTTTTGTACGTGTAAATTATGATTCTAAGTGTTGTTCTCTATACTAAAATGTTGTAGTCACTTGTAGGTAATACTTGCCATTGACATAGTGAGAAACTTAATGCAGAATATAGTCTAATCCAATCCATGACATTCATCGTTGGACATATAGTAAGATTACTTAAGCGGCCTTGAAGCGATCAATCTGGATGTTCTCAGTTTGGAGCTTCTTGTAATCACTTCTGTTTCTTGCAACATAGAACTTGCCCCAATTGTACTTTTTGTAACAAGGCGGGTTGTCTTCGCTTGTAAGCTCCTTCAGTGGCTCAATGTTGACTTCATGGGATGGGAAAAGGAAGAAAGGCATTGAGAATCTCTCTTTGCTTGAATTCACTACCACTCTATGTTCTGCACTCCAATACTTGTCATTTGTCCATACCTACACACAACAAATATTATATGACCAAGTTACATTAGACCCCCAAAAAATTTCGAGTTAATATATATACACATAAATTCTTAAAAAAACATTTTTATTTAATCTCGAATCAAATTGTTTAAGACCTCCAAAGTGTCAGCCATTCTATATATATATATATAATATATATATATATATATTCAAAGTTCATGTATTTTACCTGCATGCAGTTGCCAATGTTAATGATGAAAGCATCAGGGTTCGGTTTCACCGAGAACCATTGTCCATCCGATCTACGGCTCACTTGTAACCCACCCACATTATCTTGGGCCAAGACGGTTATAACTCCTGCGTCTGCGTGGCGTCCAACTCCTAATGCTA